AGATGAGCAGAGGCGATCTCTGCTGGTACCCATCTCTAAGCAATCGACCTCTGATCCCTCTACCAGGGGACGAGAATGCAACTTTGCATCCAAAGTAGGCACCAAGGCAGCAGGGGCTCAACGAGAATTAGCAGTTCTCCTCCCCTTCCCTTTCCACCATGGTCCCCAACCTCTTTCAAAAACGAGCGAAAGCAGAGTCCTGCAGCATGTTGGATGCTCTTGAGCCTTCAGCCGTTGCCTGCAGTTGGTGCAAACGTGGCCTCGATGGGTGTGCAAAGGTGCTATTTGCCAGCACTTCCAGGTGCTGCTGGTTGCAGGATGGCCCTTTTCCAGCATCTGATGAAAAATTAAACACCCGTCTTTTTGGGAAGTGTCGCATCTTTGACAAAAAGTCACGTTTTCCCGCTGTTCAGGCAGGACTGGCTAGTGCTGAAGTCGCCAAAAATTTCCATCTGTGCCCCCCCACATCCCAGCCCAGGCAGCTGCCTTTTCCCTGCCAGCCTACCCAGACCCCGCGCGGAGGAGGGAGACCTCCGGCTCAGTGGCAGGGCGGCTACCTCGACGCCATCGCCGAGTTTTTCTTAGGCCACTGTGACAGCTTGTGTTTTTCAGATACCTGCCCCGTGACGGGTGCATTCCTCAGCCCCACCGCATCCACTCAGCCCCAGCTCACGCAGTAATTAGCCAAGTGTTTCCTGGCTGCCTTTAATTACAGCCACAACTATTTCCCTCGCTCTAACGTAACGCCTCTGAAAGACAGCAAAGGTTTTGGGCCCCTTCCTGCGCGGAGCACCGTCCCAGCACGTGTTGGGCACCGCCGTGCACTGGCAGCCGCTGATTTGAACCCGAAGGGCTCATACCCCCTCGGTGAGTCACGTTTTTCGTTTTCGACCTCAAGGTCGTAATTGCCCGCGCTGGGAATTAGCGGTGTCTCCCCGGCACCCAGCTGAGACACGGGGCGTTATAAACCAGCCAGAAGGGCAGGATCCTCCTTAAATCCGTGTTTGAGTCCGACTCAGCTGTAATTTGCCCCGTCCCATGGCAAAGCAGCTCAGCTGGCAAAGTCGTGGGAGGAAAGCGCAGATCACCTTCCTGGCCACATCACGGTTGGGCCCCCAAAATTTTCATGCCGCCGGCAGCGAGGCGGGCACCCAGCCCACCCGTGGGCAGCCCATGGCTCTTTGCTGGGGGCACACAGCCTCGCAGGGCCGTGTCTTACAGCAGCACCCAAAAGGACGAGCTTTTCCCCCCCTGCACCTTGCTAACGCTGTTGCGGTTAGCCGACCTGGTGGTGGTGGTGTTGCCATGGCTGAAACCCGCTGTATTTCTGGTCGCAATACGCGCCTTCAGCAGCTTCCAACCGGCTTGGGGCTGCCAGAAACCAACGCAGCAGCTGCCGGGCTCGGCCTCACGAGGCTGTGATCTATAACGTGCATTGTCTTTTTATGTAATGTGTTTTATTAAACATCTTCTAAAGCTTACAAGTGTCCCCAGGACATAACTCTCCAGCGCAACGTAATGCTTTGCCAAGTAATGAAGTATGATTTATGGAGGTAACGGTTATCCTATGTTTTTTTTTTAAATTATTACAGCAATAGCTCTGTCGAATATAGGAATATAACATGCTGCATTTGGCACGTTTATGACAACAGTGCTCTGGTTTTCTTAACTCCACAGTTCGGTGTTGGCAGTATTTCAAATTCTTGAGACAGATGTTTAAATGAATTTTTTAAGAGGACAGTGAAATACTTTTAAAACATCATACGGCGCTGAGTGTCTCAATATGAGCAGGAACATTATTTAACGTTCAGGTAGGGCAGGGCAGCACATGGCCTTTCTGGTTTAGATCTCACAGTAAATGATGGAAGTAGCAAATGTTGAATTAGCTTTTCTGGGGCATCCTGGCCTGTTGTTACTTTTTGGCTGAGGTGTTGGTGGGGGAACGGACACTCGACCTTCTCCTGGATTTCGTTCACATTCGCGTCTCGTTTGTGAGCAGCAAAAACAGATCCACATTTGTTTTGAATGCAGTTCCCACCACGCTGATACAGGACTAAGTGGTCTCACGCTGACATTCTGAGTGTGTCATTGTGGTCCCAGTGGTTAGGGTTTCAGGCCAGAAATGACAATCATTTGGAAAAATGTAAATGAGAACCCTGGTCACATATCTGCGAGGCAGACAGCATTCAAGTATTTCCATCGAAACATTGAAAATTCTTGGGTTTTTTTAAAAAACTTTTTTTTTTTTAAAGGTATTGGCTAAAACTGAGGAGAGCGGCATAATTAACAAAGCCAGGGGATTCGGCTCTGGCGTTGCTGTTTGCAACTTTCAGTCAAGGAAAGTCAGAGCCCACAAAGGCAGAAGTCGGCATTGTTGGAGACGTCATCGCCCTCGGCGTAGCGCGTGTTTGCGGCGGGAGGGGAAGGCGCCCCGCAACGAGGCTGCGCAGGCAGTCAGCGCAGAGAGATTGAAGACAAGGGAAGCATCAGTAAAGCAATGAACACTTATATTTAATTTACATTTGACAATTTGCACATAAATAATGATGTAAACCAATACGTAAACATATGATAGTTTGTTGTTCTAGCAAAGTAAAAAGCCTGTTAACTTTGGTCAGAGTCTTTCTTAAGAGAGACAAAAAAACCCCCAAAACACTGTTGATTGTTGCTACATTCACATGTAAAACTTCTAAGGGAAGGGGGAAACAGTAAAGAGAAGTAACAATTCTTAAAGCTGATGCATATAAATTCTTGTAAAAGTTTTATCAAATACAAGAAAAGCACTACAGGCAAATAATAGGAAAAGTGTGTGTCCAGTGACAGAGTAGTGATACTTTGGTTTATCCTACAAGTAAGTACTATATTTATGAACTATTGCTACATTTAAAAGATGTCAGCCTCACAATTTGCAGGAGTGGAAATGTAATGAACTGTAGTCCTTCAAAAGCTGTGTTGAGAGACTTGCATTTCAGGATGGTTTGGTTTATAACGGAAGGCATTAAAATGAAGTTAGCTGAAAAGAAGATCACCGAATCCTGGATTGCTGAAGCGGGCTATTTTAAAATTTGTAAGAACATAACCAGACAAAAAGATATACATGGAGGGGAGGTGTGTAATAATGCTACTTATATTTATGTGACTTGACCGTGCAACTCGTTAACGGCAGGGTAAAACGAGATGAGGGGCTCATCCCAACTAACTTCCATCCTGCCCTTCACTGCGTTTTGTGAACACACCATGCACAGGTCACATTTGGCTTCAAGTTCTTTCAGTTACATTTTCTGGCTGTTTGTTCACTGACCACCCGCCTCCTTCCCCCCAGGACATGCTGCCGGGAGAGCAGGGGACCGATGACCCCCCTCCTGCAAACAGGGTCATTCCCACCCAATTCGCTGAGACGCCACGTGTGGGTGACGTTATTCACATAAGGTGTCTGCAAGTTCAGGCTTCGCCCGGACAGCTGTGCATGCGTACTTGCAAGTGATAAATGCCTTAGTACAACCTTCTGGTTTTGAGGTCCTCGTAATATGCAAAACTGGATAACATTTGATTTTCACACTTAGATGAAAAATAGGTTTTATTACATGGTTTGGCTCACAACTTAAGTGGTATAAATATATATACATATACATATATTGTATAGTGGTATAAATATATCTATAAATATACATGTATTTTTTGCTACACCTCAAACGTCACCATATCATCTTTGGGCTTAGCAAAACAAAAAGATAAAAGGATGTGCATTCTATCTTTCCCTGTGCACATTTTGGTTTCTTCTCTAAAGTAGCAAAGCATTTAGATAAAACAGCAATGTCTGCACCACTGGACACAAGCACTGAGGTAATTGTTGTTCAACAACTTTGCAATGCCCTTTTCTTCTTTAATTAAATTAACCACAAAATGTACAAACACAAATACTGAGAAAAATCTGTCGTACAGGAAGGAAGAAAAAAAATGTATGTGCCAGGAAAGGACTTTGTTCCCCACTTCTACCCAGGCAAAGTGGGAGAGGAAAATACAAGTAAAACTGAACCCCTTCTTTCTCAGGGAATCTGACCATCTCTTTTTTCATCCCTGGAAGGCTCTGGCCAAAAAAAAAAAAAAGAGAAGAAAGAAGTCTGCCAAAACCCTCCTTTTACGCAGAATATTAAGAATATTTGTGTATTTGCTTTTAAACTGCTTTTGGAAACAAAAGAATGTAAGTGAGATTTTATTTTGGAAGAGCCACTTTATGCCGATGCATTCCTTTGGTCATAAAGTTACATGACAACATGTGGGGCTATAGCTGTTTTCTAAAAACCTGTGGTATTGCCCATGGCAGGCAGGTGTTTGCTGTGCCACATCTGTTCTGGGTAGAGCCGCGGGTAGAAGAATCTCTCTCCCATCCTCAGAGAGGCAGAGGCAGCAGTTTCTTCTCCGCTTGCTGCTACTTTGTTTTGGTTTGGTTTTTTTTTTCCTTTTCAATTCCCAGTGGGGTGATTTGCACATAAAAGTACACAGCGTTTTTTTCAAACCAACGGATCTAGGATTCTGTATGTCAAACGTCCAACTCTGGCAATACAAAAAACCACATTTGTTTAAAAGACATCGGTACATAAAACACATTTACCGAAACCCCGATCTTAGGTTCTTAAAACAGATGTGCAGAAAAAATATCTACAAATGGCCATAAAACAAAAAATAAAAACATTTAAAGTAAAAATTACAATGAATTTTCCAGTCATTGTAAACATTTTCCTAATTATTGCTTTTAGAATGATTAATTGCATAATAAATTATGAAGTACTATCATTGAAAAAATAATTATGGATAGATGATTGTCTTTTAGTAACTGGTGAGGCAATGCACAGTCCTTTGCCTCTTTTCATGCCCTGAGAAAACAGTAACTTTGGAGTTCCTTCTTTCAGCTGGAGAGCGTAGGGAAACTACTGTAAGCCAAGATTGCTTTGCAGCATTGAAACTATGTACAAGCAACTGCTACAGGCACCCTGACTTGCCAAGTCATAAATAAAAAAAAAAATCACTTTGCCAAAAAGTCTTAAGGGTCCATTGGTTCAACTGTTTCTTGCTTGACCTTTACAGGTAACAGAGGTAGTGGGTGACCATGAGGCAACTTCATAATTGACATATCTGACGACTCGTAAAGGTTGCATCCTGAGGAGATAAGTCCATTTCCCAGGTTCCTCTGTAGAGATACCTTCAGATTAGCTCCTTCCATTTCCCTTCTGAGCATGGTCAGTATATCCTTCTCCACGATCGATGTTAAGTCGATATTGTCCTCCACTTCTTCCAACTTGTCGGCATTGTCACTGATGTCGAACTTCTCGATCTCCTCGTTAATTCTATTCAGGTCCTCCATTGAGAGGCCGGAGGCAGGGGCGACGGGGCAGTTGCCCTTCAGGTGGACCTGGAGGCTGCAGAGGTGAATGTAGCTCTTGTGGCAGTGGATACATTTATGGGGACGTTCGCGGGTGTGGAGACGCTTGTGCAGCTTCAGGTGCACAAACTGGGTGAATTTGGCCGGGCAGAGCTTGCACTGGTAAGGCTTCTCTCCAGAGTGGAGCCGCAGGTGGGTTTTGAGATTGCTG